AATTTAAGGGCAATCAGCGCTGATATTCATTTATTAGCGTGGCTGTCAAAGAATAATCCCAAAATGGAACTTGAATTTGATGAATGCCGAAATTGAAACGCCTTTGGGGAGGTACATTTACGTCTTATTCATTAATCTATTCATTGATAAAATGTTTACCTCCACATGGTGCTTCCTGGGCAACGTATACTCATACGGCAAAAAGGTCTATAAACCGGCAGTTGACTACCGACTTCAAACTCTCATGACCCGCCTGTATGTCATATTCGACAACTTCTACAGTACTCGTCTTGCCTTTTCTCTGTCCTTGTGTCTGTCTGTCTCCTTTACATCTATGAATCACTCTTCTGTTCCTCACTTTGATGTTCCCGAAGTCATCTTAAGGGCTATTGATAACTATCAAAACGCCTGCATTTGAAATAAATAAAAAACAAACTTTGCTATGATTTTCTATTGACGATTTTTTCCCATTTCGTAGAACGTCTTCGGTTAAACCTATTAAAAATCCACGTAAGCTTTTACTGTGGTCCCTAAAAATTTTATTGCGAATAAAAATCGTTTACTTATTTATTTAAGTAGAGCGTATGTATATATTGTAGGACCATTTTCGAGCATTTGCCCGCCTGTCAATGCAGAGGAGAAAAGTCCCGAGAAAGAATCAGTGGCTCTGGTTGAAGAGACGTCAGAAAGTCAAACTGTGCATGGGATCAAAACCTCTGCCTATCCTCCTCCTCCTCCGCTACACAGTAAATCTCTTGTTGCTCAGGTGGGTTGAGACCGCGTTTTTCCTTTCTCTCTCCTGATCATTTCCAATCATTGCAACTATCGTCTTGTTGCCAACCTTTCAGTTGTCTGCTATATCGATTATTTCTAATTCACATCTTGCAAATACTTTAATATTCAATGGGATTTTAAAGAGACTTGTGGAATTTGCCATTTCGCCTTATTAATTGCATCTGACTCTTTGACTAACCTTGGAGACTTAGCTGTTGTCTCCAGTTCTCCCCCCCCCCCATTTTATGATTGTTTAATCTGATTTCTCATTTAAAACAGGCATTTTAATTAAGTCCTTTATTATGGAAGCACCCTTATTCAGCAGGCAGTTTGGAAGGTTATTGCAATCATTTGACCACTATGCTATTGCTCCAACACCGAATAATGCTTGCTTTTTTTTAATATCCGCCTGTGTTTACATTGTTTACTGTATTTTTTTAAAAAATTCGCAAAAAAGGGTTGTGTTCTTTATGTAATTTGATAAGTAAAATCTTGCTAATTCTCTTTCGATTGGCCTTTTAAACTAGGTCGATTTTATTTCACGCAAGTTGAGTAATCAAGTTCATTTTACCCCAGATTTTGTGTCTGATTTCAGTCGAATTCCACAACTACACTGGCCCACAATCCAGTTGTTGTCACTCCAAGCATCGAGGACGATGGTGACGACCAGTGGAACGATTGGACCTCAGATACTGAGCATGAAAACCCATCAAACAAGTCGCTTCAGCCTCCAGTACTTTCAAGAGAGGAAGAAGTAAGTCTTTATACGTACATTTGTCGCATTAAAAGTAACCCGCCTCGGCATTAATGGAGTTGTTTTTCTTGTTTCAGGAGTTGAGAGAAAGAGTAGCCCAAGTTGAGGCGTTGCTTGCTGAGTTGGAGCCAAAGATTGCTTCACCTTCCACGTTTTCATTAACACGGCCTGCTCTTAATCTGAGCGATCCCGCTTCGAATCCTGATTCATTAACACCTACCAGTGCCAACCTACAGTACAAATTTGAGGTGAGAGCTTAAAGAACAGCAATTTATCACTTACCCAATAGAAACACTTGTGGTTTGGTGAAATGCGCTTTTATTTATTGATTACTTGGTCAAACCAATCAATATGTAACACTTGCGTATTTTTACGTTTAACTAATTACTTCTGAGATAAAATATCCCTAGTTGACTAATTTGTGCTGTCATTATTCAGTAGGCATTTAGTATGAATATTGATCGCAAAATTTGAAGTTGAGTGAAAATTGGAAGTAGTTACCCTTCGTAAAGTCAAAATTAAATCACTTGTCATCTTTGATATTAAAAGAAGGCCTCACCTCACACTACGATCTAATCAAGAGTATGGGCTCGACACAAGACATATGTGAAATAATCAGATTAAATGTTTGGAAATGTCAAAAGCGACATCAGTGAGCATACACGCCGCTTATTTCAGGGCTAATAATAAATATCATTAAGCCTGCCATTTGAAATAAATAAATATTAATCTCTAATCGATGGTTTCCTTTTTACGTGATATCTTTTGTTGTAATAAATTTACATTTACATATTTTTTTGTATTTTAGAATTATTCAGGCGACTTGGGTTCTAAAAACAAGGAAAGTGGAGACGAAGATGACGGTTGGAACGTGGATGACTAAAGCTTCCCATTTTCTTTCATTATACCCTCCTTGATGGCTGTGCTGTTCCCCCCTCCCCCCTCTTTCGCAAATTGTACCTTTCTCCCCCTGTCAAATCCAGTATTAAAATTCCTGAAATAACAACTATTGTTAGTAAATGGGAGGAATTTTCAAGAAATTCCACCTACCCTCTTGTCATTACAAAATCGGGAAGTAGTAGCGGTCACACTCCATTCAGCCAGGTATCTGTTGTGAATGCTTCTGTCCTAGTATGGAGACTTTAGTAACTTGCTGGAGTTGGGAGAACAGAAATCGTTGACACAGATTTTGGAATTAAAACTACTAATGGGTTATTAATTAATTAAAATCAAATGGCAGACGTTGTGAAAGTTATCATTACCCTTTTAGTTGACTTCAGGCTTCGCAGAGGAGGAGGAGCATCAAAGTGAAATAAGTCGAGAGGGAGAGGGCGAACAGAGGAGAGTTTCAAAGATGTAAAAGAGACAGACACAAAAGTGGAAAATGGTGAGGTGAGTACTGTAGAAGTAGTCGAATATGACATACAATGGGGTGAGAGTAGTTTGAAGTCAGAAGTCAACGGCCGGTCAATAGACTTTTTTGCCGTATGAGTATGCGTTGCCCAGGGTGCACCACGTAGAGGTAAGTCTATCGCACACCCCTAATGGGTCATTAAAGTGTAGCAGTTAATGGAACATAACCAATTTGTAGAAGCTGAGGCGTAGCTTTAGCTAATAGAAGTTCGAAAACGTGGAACACAAGGAGTGTAGTTGGCTCTAGTGTATCGAGCAAATTTCCATGAGGCTTAGAGAAAGTGAATGGGCAGGTATGTGACAAGCATGTGCATTTGAACGGAAGAACAAAGACTGTTTGTGTCATTTGTTCTAGGGAGCATGTGAGTTATTAGTACACGATATAGGTTTAAATGAAAGGGGTCATGTGTGGGGGGGGGAGAGGGGTGGATTGAGTCACCAGAGCACAAAGAACAAAAATATATGCATTTTTATAGAGATTGTAATCAATGAGCAATTTCTGAAAATGTGAGAAGTCAATCTTCCAATTATTGGCACAAAATGTGTTGAAGGTGATTTTCTCTTCTGTTCTGCGTATTTTAGTTGATAAGCTCGAAAACGACATCAATGAGTCGAAAGATTATATGAGTACTCAAAGAGGGAATATTGATTAAATCACATCGTATATGGACAGGAAATTATAGAAAGAGCATAAGATGCAAATTTTGTACGAGTTCGACAATCGATAAACAAGTGTATTGAAGCGGAAACAAAATGAAGAACCCAGGACCATGGTAACAGTCGCTTTCAAACTTGAGAGCCTCTCTCTTCCTAAGTTGGCTTTGCGGCATTCAACTAATCATTTGTTGGAGCAACTACTGGGGTTTTCATGAAATGGATTTTTCCGTTTAACCGCCCTGTGCGGATTTTCGGAAAACTCCGGAAATTTAAATCTAGCAGTATTACCACCACATAAAGCTGAAAAAATCTCACAAATTTACGTTCTGAAAACGGTATACCCAAAGCGCTCAAGAGCTAAGGAACCACATTTGTAAAATTAATCCCTGCTCCTAGTTGAAGTCAATGGTCACCTATCAGAAATTGGATTTCGTGAGGTTGCTTTACTTCATGGTTTCTTCAATTAGTCGACACTGCTCGTATTGAACTATTTCGATAATAGTAATAGATTGTATGAATTGGTTTCACATCTATAGACTCCGTATGATTATGGCTAATCTACAGCTTCCTCTTGCCTCCAAACTAGCCTTCAAATGCGTGTATTCGATAACGAAACGTTTTTCGAGGCTGTCAGAACTTATGAGAGATAAAAGTCCATAAAATTTGTTTGTGTCCCTTAAATGAGTTTATCTTGCACACGTCACTGTCCTCGGAGTCAAGGGACCAGCATTGGAGGCACCCGGTAATTAATCGGGCATGATTTTGGACCTAGTTCTAGTTTGGACTCAGTCGGTTGGAACATAGGTATGGCAGGTTCCTTTAGGCGGGGGGTTAATAGTGATCTTACACTTCCCCTGAGTTTCTTGCCATCCTTAAATGTCTGGAAAATGTTGCAACAGGATGCACCATAGGCGATAATATCACAGTAATATTGCAATTTTAATTTTACTAGGATTGGAGGTGCGCGAATTACTTGCCTTCATGTGGCAACGTATACTCAAACCTCAAAATAAGTCTACAAACCGGCAGTTGACTTCTGACTTCAAATTTCCGTAACGCCATTGTAGATCATATTCCACCACTTCCACAGTACTCACCTCGCCTTACCCTTTTCCCTATCTCTGCATCTCACTCACAACTGTGACTCACTATTGGGTGGGCAACTAAGTCATTGCCGTTATTGTTGACAGATTCACTCTATACTTTCTTTTGTTTTGTTAACGTGGCCAGAGCATCTAACCTATATTTTTTTCTTACTGTATGGCCTTCTAGGTTAATTAGTAAAATTTTTTTTGTTTAGTTCTTTAGTTTTGTTTTCATCCCAATTTAAAAATGAAAAAACAGGACGTGCACTTCCGACACATTTTATTGTATTACTTCCGAAAAGGCAAGAACGCATCGCAAGCACAAAAGAAGTTATGTGCCGTATATGCAGATGAAGCCTTAAGAGAAAGGCAGTGTCGAAATTGGTTTGAAAGATTTCGTTCCGGTGATTTTTCACTGAAAAATTCACAACGATCTGGCCGCCCAGTCGAAGTGGATGAAACCCATATCAAGGCCATTATCGATTCAAATCGTCACAGCACAACACGAGATATTGCAGAGAAGCTCAATGTGTCGCATACATGCATTGAAAAAAAAATGAAAAACCCTTGGTTATGTCAAGAAACTTGATTTATGGATCCCTCACCAGTTAAAGGAAATTCATTTGA